GAGGGGCTCTAAAGATAAATGGGTGTAAGGTGCCTGATTCATTTGATTTCATTATTTTCCTGACTGATTTTATTATTGTTATTAGCCACCACCCAGAGTTGTCTTCCACTTTTAGATTTGCCAAAGAAATTACAGGGCTGGTTAATCCAGGCGATTGCCAGGAATCGGCCCAAAGGCCCCTGATAAATAAATAATTAATACACCCCTCCATCCTGATTCTAGCAGGTGAAGGATGACCTTCGTTGGGTCCCTCAAGGGTTTTCAGCTCCCTCAGCCAACCCCCTGTGACCCTTGGATGCTTCAAATGGGACACCCGCCTTGGTTGGCATCCTGGCACGGCTTCCCTGGCTGCTCTTGCTGACTGCCGCCCTCCTTCCTTCCTTCCACATGTCCATCAGCAAGAGGCAGGCGAGGTGGTGAAGAAAGCCCTGGATGTCATCACCATCGCTGTGCCTCCAGCCCTGCCGGCTGCCCTGACCACCGGCATCATCTACGCCCAGAGGAGGCTGAAGAAAAAGGGGGTTTTCTGCATCAGCCCCCAGAGGATCAACGTGTGTGGCCAGCTGAACCTCCTCTGCTTCGACAAGGTGAGCCTTCTCACTCCCGAGGGAGCCACGGGCTTCAGTCTGGCCGTCCCGGGAGAACAAGGCAGTTGAGGCCAACAGTTGCCGAAGGCTTGTGAGCCAACGCTCTTCACGTCCTTGGCCTAGTGGTAGGAGGGATGGAGAACTGGGTGGGGAGTCCCTCTGTCACCCAGTGGCCCCGTCTGAGGAGGGGATGACCAGGCTGTGCCCGAGGGGAGGGGTCAAGCGCATCGTCAGCCTCGAGTCCCTTTGTGCTCTCAAGAGGTCAAAGTCCAGCCCGCCTGGAATTCCCTTGACCTACTTGCGTTGACCGTTAGCAGCCCAGATTCTTGTAGAGAGCTTTAGGGCGTCATAAACCTGTGTTCATCGGAACCACCTGGACTCCTGATTTCGTATGCTGGAGGGGAGCAGAGTAACCGTTTAGGAAAGGACAAGGCCAAATCGCTGATAGGCAGAATCCGAAGTGGCAACCTAGAGCAGTGTTTTTCAACCTTGTCAACTTGAAGATGTCTGGACTTCAACTCCCAGAATTCCCCAGCAAGCGAATGCTGGCTGGGGGATTCTGGGGGTTGTAGGCACTCCATCG